CTGTCAGGGAGCTCCAGCCCTGGCAAAGGGACCTGGGCACAGCAGGAATGAGGCAATAGAGGATGCGAGAGTTGAGCCAGCTGAGACAGAAACCCCTGGGGACACGGGAAGGACGTAGGAGCACAGCTGAGCACGGAGGCCTGGAGCAGCAGCACTGTCCCTCTGCAGCCCCTGCTCATGCTGGGTGATAGCCACACACTGCTGCAGGCTCAGGCACCCGCCCCAAAGGTCCCCTCTCACCTTCCTTCCTCCCAGAAAACAGATCCTCTTTGCTATTGCTTTTCAGGAAAAATGCATTATTGCTCAGGGTGACCTCCTCTGATGCTGGAGGCCTGATGTGCTGTCCCCACAGAGAGTGTCCCTGCTCCTGCTATTTTCCCAGCCCTGCCACCCCACTTGGGGTCCCTATGGGAAAGCCATTCCCTGCCCTGGCTGTGTTCACACCACAGGGATGAGACTCCTGTGGGAGCACTGAGGGTCCTGGTGCCCCCTGGGGTGGCAGCAGGATGGGTGGCTGTTCCTCTCCAGAGGACAAGCCTTTGCCAGGCAGGGCCCTTCTGCCCCTGCCCCTCTCCAGGGACAGCTGTGCCCACTGCGGGACTTGTAGATGCTGAAGTGTTAGATCTCAAAATTCCTAGGACCTAAATATTTTCTTTTAAATTTTAAACAAAATATATAATGGAAAAACTGTCTGTTTTCTGTTAAGTGAGCCCAAATAGAAGCAGCACATCCCAGGATGAACAGCCAGACCCACACCTTTGCCGTTCCCTCCCGAGTTCGTGCCTTGTTTTCTGGCTAATTGCATTACAGTTTGATTGCTGGTTTAGAAACCTTAAAGAAATAGAGTAACCAAGGAAAGAAAATAAACCTCCTCCTACCTTCCATGGGGAGAGGCAGCCGCAGCGGGTCACTGTCCTGTGCAGAAGTTACTCCTGTGTCCCTGCAAGCCAGCAAGTCCTGCCTGGGCAGCTGAACTCCAACCCCATCTGCTCGGCTTTAAGCAGGACAGCTGAGATCCCACCCAGGACGGGGTGGAGAATCCTCCCTGGGAAAGAGCAGCTCGGTCACAGCTCCTCCAGCCGCTCTGCGCATCCCGCCGGGGCTCTGACACGCCGCTTCCTTTCTCTGCCCCTCGGAATTGTGCACAGCCTCTCCCACTGCCATCTCTCATCAGCCTCTGCAGCTGAGCCTGCCACAGGCATCGTGTTGGGCAGTGCCAAAGGTGTGGGTGGCGTGGGTCCCGCCAAGGAATACTGGCAGGATAAACACAGGACGCACACGGTTTGGATGGAGGGGAATGGAGCACAGAGGTACTCGAAGCACTACGGTTACATCAGTGAGGAATCCTCGAGGAACTGGAGCACGGCCCAGCAGAGTGAGCTCAGTGCAAAGCCCACTGCTGAGTGCTGCACTGCAGACACCACCCTGACACTGCTCCAGTTCTGCCAGAGGCGATGGGAAAAACATGTGAAATCCACTGCTTTTGCACCAGAAGTCTTTTAGACTGAATCTATTTGGCACAGTAAAGGTTATTTTCTTTTAAACAAAGTCTCTAGGGAGTTCATTCTGTCTGGAGCAGAGGCAGCTGAGCACGGTTTGAATTTCCCTCGCAGTGAGCAGTCCCTGGGGTGCATGGCAGGCAGCACACACCTTCACGCCAGCTCAGCAAGTGCTGTGTGCCTTGGAGCTCCTCTGGGCAGGTGCAGGGTGCTAGTGCTGTGGCTGGGCTTTAAGGTGTTATTATTGCCCATCCCAGGCATTTCTTCAGCCCTGCATGAATTCCCCCTTTGTCTGTGGCTGAACAGCCCAGCAGCAGGCAGCTCCCAGAGCCCAGCCCTGGCTCCCACTGCCACAGCTCACACAGGGCACACTTGCATTTACATTACAGTGCAGAGGTGGAGAAAGGAGATAGTGTACAACAGCAGAGACACTGTCATTGCTGCTAGAGCAGTGCTGGGCCCTGGGCTGTGTTTTCAGCACTCACAGCACACAGAGGATGCCTGAGAGGTGCTCATTGCTGATTCACTCTGTGCCACACAGCCTCACACCAGCTAACAAGAATAACCACTAATGAAGCAAAATATAAGAATATTCCAGTTGTTAATGCCTATAACACATATTATTCAAACTGAAACTTGCTACCACTGATGAGGTTTCTGGTTGAACTGGATTCTGTGTCATTGGAGGGGGACATTCATACTCAGGTCCTGGTCACCCTGACCAGGATGTGGTTAGAATTGTCACATCCCTTAAGGAGGTATGCGTATGGTGAGAACAGAAATTAGCTTTTGATGCCTTCTGAAATGGGATGTCTGAAGGAATAGGCTTTCCTGACTTCAAGGCTCACACAGGGCACCCTCAGCAAAGGGACCCAGCAGACTGGGGTGGCAGTGCCTGGAGAAGCCAGCACTCTGCAGGACATTGGTCCCTGCATCACAATACCTAGCACAGAAATTGAGTAGAAAAGACAAAAAATCCTCTTCAAAAGAGGAGCACAGAACTCTGGAGCATTCCAAGTCACATCTCACACAACTGCACACCATGAACACTAATCTGAGGAGACCTGGCACCACTGGCTCACCCGGGCAGGACAGCAGAACAGCAGGACAACAGGACAGCAGGACAGCAGTGCTGTGGCTGATGTGCTGTCTGTCTTTGCAGCCAGCCCCTCTCGTGGCTCTGTGCCTCCATGTGACGCCGCTCCCCGGGGGCCGCCTGACCCCGGCTTCCTTCCCAGCCTCTCTGAACTCCAGGGCCCTCAGAGGAGCAGCACCACGGTATTTTTAGCCTGTTTACAATGCAGAGCAGTACATTTGTGTGCAGCTTGCAGGGAGGGAGCACAAGCCATGCAGGCAGCGGGGCAGCTGGCAGCCATCTGGGCAGCAGCGTGGAGGGGCCTGGCCAGGGCAAAGGATGGCTTCAGAGATGGAAAGAGAACCAGAAGGAGCACCAGGTAAACATCACCATTTTGCCTTAATTAACATTTGACAAATTTCGTTTAATAAGAAATTAGTAAATTTTAAAGCCCTTCTTCTGGGGCTCCTTCAAGTTCTGAGAGTTTCAGCACCCACCCAAGTGGCAACCCAGAGCAGCACTACAGGCTCCTGCTGCTCCCCTCTGTCATTGCTGGTCACCACGTGGCCAGAAGGAATCACAGGGATCCACCAGCTGGATCTATTACGCAGTCTCCTATGAAAGCATTATCCACTGTACCAATTTCTCTCCTGAACTGTGGTCTTTGAGCTGAGGACAGCAATCCAGGAGCAATTGCATCAGTTGTCAAAAAAGCAGCCAACCTTTGCCAGCTCCTCCAGGAAGTCACCTGGAGATGGTGCACACAACTCACATCAGCATTTGGGTGTCCTGTCACCTCACAGGATGTGTGGCAAGCCAAGAAGCAGCTGTATTACAGCAGCTGTGTTACACCTGGTGCAGGGTGGCAAATACCACCCTCAGCTCTGTCCCTTCTACTTATAAAAATATGTCCACGCTGCTTTCTCACAGCCCAGCTCAAAAGGCTCCCTGATGGTGCTGAGCCTTCTCCACACCATCTGGAGTGAAGAGCTGCAATCTGAATTCTGGCTGTTGCTTTTCAGAAGAAAGAGATCATCCCCCTGGCAGAACCTGTGTGACTCAGCTGCTCAGTAATGGCCATGCCTGACGCACCTCACTCCTGACCAACACATCCCATAGCAGCATGTGATGAAACACCCACTGCTTCCAGTGGATTGCAGTGCTGCTGTGCTGGGATGGGATCCACAGATGCCAGCAGTGACTGGGTTTGTGCTGCTCTTCAGCCCAGCACAAAAGCCCAGAGGCATCACCAGCACACTCAAATTAAATCTAAGATTTTCAAAGTGGTTCGAGGACCTTGGAGGCACAAAAATCATAGATCTTGTACACAAAAGCAATTCCCAACATCCTGTTTCCCCATGGAAAGTCCCCAGTTAATCTGACAGCCTCTTTGCTCCATCCTAGTTGTGAACTGAAAGACAACTTCAGCCCAAAGGGAAACTTGGCACTTGCTTTGTCAGAGGAACAGGGATGTTTACAATAACAATCCAGCCCCTTGGCACCTCTGAAAGGTCTGCTTATAACAAGTGAAGAGCGTGTGGGCTCGGGGAAAAGAGAAATACCTTTACTCATTTTGAACTCTCTCTCAGGGATGCAGAGAGGGACACCCATCTGGCCAGAATCAAAATGCTACAACAAAACCTCCTGTCTCTGTGAGATGAACACAAGCCCCAGGAGAAAAGATCTATACACAGCCTGCCGAACTGCTTGAAAGAAAAAGAATCTAGAAAGCCATTTTCAGTGAGTGGAGCAGTTATTACTCCTGCCCTGGCGGAGATGCAGCCAGATCCCTGCTGGGCACCACTCAGCCCAGAGCAGGAAGAGCTCAGGCCGTGTCCCCAGTGCTCACATGGGCTCATGTGCCACCCCCAGCCACCTCCATCCCCAGGCAGCCCCAGGGTCTGCTCTGCCCACCTCTGCACGGGCTAATGCACAGCTGGAGAGCTCGGGTGCAAGGCTTGGGAAAGGTGGCTGGACACAGAGAAGGATTATTTCTGACACCCTAGAAAGGCTTCCTGAAGAACCAGGCAGGTTCAAGTTCAAAAGTTTCTGTAAGCACCAACAATGAAGGTTTAAAAGTGACTCGGGTCACTCTTGGGCACTGCAGTTGTTGGCACTGTGTGGCTGACTGACACTGTTATGTTTTAAAGTGTCTACAAAACTTCAGCAAAACAAAAACTATAAAGTGTAATTCTAAAGAAACCTGAGTATTTCCAGCTTTGAGTACAAATCATCAGCTCAAAATACCCACATGGTCCCACCAGTGAAAAGGCAGCCTGGGCAAAGGCAGCTCTGTGGTGTGACGGAAAATGCAACAACGTTAAAGGAGCGCCAAAAATGTAAAGGTATTTTCCTTCCTTGATCAAGGTCATAGCCCCAGTGCCTGAATCACAGCAGTGCGGGATTACGGCTGCCCTTGGACTGACCTGCAAGGCGTTTTTCCCTGGCTGTTCTCCAGAAGCCATCCCAGGCCCAGCTGGTGGAGCCCCCGGGGTGCTCGCTGAGGCATCTCCTGAGGTGGGGCCTCGCCCGTGCTGCCATCCTCATCCTCATCCTCATCCTCACCACACCCCAGCCCTGGCACTGCAGCCACAGGTCAGGACCAAGGCAGGTCCATTCCCTCAGCTCCTGCCTCTGAAGCCGGGCTGGAAGGCTGCAGGCCCTGCTGCCCGCGGCCCATGGCTGTGCAGGAGCAGGCGGGGCAGCAGCCCCCAGCGGCTCTCAGCGCGGAGCGCGGCCCGGCCGAGGCTCGGCTCCCACCTCCTGTAAACACAGCTGTTCCTCCCACAGGGAGGATAAATAAGGAGCTAAGGAGAGAGGCCACGCACATCCCGGGACTCTGCACCTCTGCATTCCCAACCCCTGCGTCAGCTGTCTGCACACACTCCAGTCACACGGGCTGTGCTTGGGCCTGGGATTTTTATTTTGGTTCATTTCTCGGTCTAGAAACAGAATAGGACGTTTCTCCTGTGTTAGGGGATTTACCTGAGTGATCGTTTTGTGCAGAAACCATTCTGTTTGAAAAGGACTTGTATCAAACATTCTCCAAAGACAAACTCTACTCCAAAGGCACTTCTTTCCTGTGCTGTCAACTCTCTAAGCAGCAATGGGGATATAAAAATCCTCTGCCACTTACCTGTTCAGTTACATGCCTGGAAATAGTGGTTCTTCCCAACATATGCAACCATTAAATTTAGGTTTCCTCCCCATTTAGGATCTGAGAATGCAACATCTTTACAGTGGAAGTGTGTGTGTACAAAAAGCAAATACCAGGCTCCTATTGGTGAAGCTCCTTGGCAAAACCAGTCCTGGAAAAGAACAGCAGTCAGTGGGGAGGTGACTGGAATGGCAGGTGGCTGCAGGTGGCAGCTGGTGTTACGTGTCACACATCCACCACTTCTAGTGCTGGCAGCAGGTTTGGGTCGCACAGGAATGAGCTCCAGTGGTGTTTGCTGAGGTCAGTTCAGCATACAGGACACTTCCCAAGCTGCTCCAGCACACACATCACTGCCACACAGCTGTCCCTGACACACAGCTGTCCCTGACATACACATGTCCCTGGCACACACATCACTGCCACACACATGTCCCTGGCACACACATGTCCCTGACACACAGATCACTGCCATACACATGTCCCTGGCACACACATGTCCCTGGCACACACATCACTGCCACACACATGTCCCTGGCACACACAGCTGTCCCGGACACACAGCTGTCCCTGACATACACATGTCCCTGGCACACACATGTGCCTGCCACACACATGTCCCTGACACACTCACCACTTCCCCAGCTGGTTCATCACCAGCCCCCAGAGCTGCATGGATGCTCCTCACCGAGCACATCCTGCACCCAGGAGAGGTCTGAGAGCACCCTGGGAGTCCCTCAAGCTGATTCCTTATGTTGGGGACTGATGCTGTGTGCTGCATCCTGATTAAGACAACTTAATTAATGTCCCCCAGAGGAAGGAAACCCATGGCTGACAGGCACAGTGGCTGCTCTGAGCTGTGAGCTGCAGCACTGAGCTTCCCCTCCTCAGAGTCCTGGGGGACCAGGACCCCTCCTCAGAGACCTGCAGAGCACAGCTGGTAGCTCTCAGCCACACATAATGTGTTTCAGACAACAAACTGACATGCAGGACTGTTTTTTTTCTGTAACACCTGAAGTTAGTATCAGGATGAGGAGAAAGCATTAAGGGTATGCTTCCATCACAAAAAGTTCTTTGGGTTTGGACAAATGCAATGCCCAGCTATCACAGCAGGAGTATCCAGGCCATGCAAGCAGCCATTCCCCACTCCTCCTTGGCTTGTCCCTTGGGGAGTGCTCAGGGCAGGAAGCTTGTCCTGCACAGGGTGACACATCCAGGATGCATGACAGGGAATTACACTTTCACAAGGATGAGACTGAACATGACAAAGGCATTTAGGTTTGAAAATATTACATAAATGTCCTCCTGAGCACCAATGGCAGACATATGTGGAAGAGGCTGTTTCCAGCCCAGTGCCCAGTGAGCTGCGTGGGGGACACGGGGACAAGCTGAACCCTATAAGGGCAAAGCAGAGCTCCTTGGCAGGGCCGTGGCAGCTGGGGACATCACACAGCCTGTGGATGTGACTGCTGCTCAGGGGAAGGGAAAAGCACCAGGAGAAGCTGGGATTGAGGCAGCAAAGTAACAATATTATGCTCATTTTTTGTTCATTTTGGGACACTAAATACTTAATCCCTTTAGTGTCACTTCCCACTGTAGTTACGCTAAGAAAACATGGAGCATTTTGGTTCTAAAAGTGGTGAAGTGCATTTTGTGCCTCCTGTAGAGCCCTGCTGCTGAGGAGGAAAGGGCCTGTGACTTTGAGGAGGGCAGGAAGGAGGCACCAGAGGCGCAGGGCCATGGCTGAGCTCCTCCCCAGCAGCTTTTCTCCAGTCCCTGCTCTCCCCTGTGCAGGGCTGGGCAGGGCAGGGCTGGGCACTGGGCATGTGGGGACTGTCCCAGCTGGCACCTTCCATGTGGGGACAGCAAGGATGAGCTCCAGGTCTGGTGCCTCTCAAAGCACAGATTCATCCTGCTTTATTTCACCTTTAACCTGATGAGCCCAGTGGCCATCACTGACAATTTCACGGAGCTATCGCAGCTGCAAAGAAGAAAATCTGTTTCATAAAGCCAAAAAAAAAAAAATCAAGATTGTACAGTCAGACTGTTCATGGAAAGGAGTTAAAGTACCTCCTGTTGTTTCCCAGCCACAGCCCTTAAACATGAGGCATGCTAAAAATAAAGCTGTGCTATGAAAAAGCAGCAAAGAGCTCCACATTCCTAGAAGCTTCTCACACTCACATCTCCGCCTTGGGACTCCTGTGAGGCCCGAAATATTTCCCGAAACATCAGGCCATTTCAAGATGAAGCAAACGTCCTCCCTCAGCAGATGTGTTTCACTAATGTTGGCATTTTTAATTTTCCAGAATGGTAAAACAATGTATTTTTTTTAAAAAAAACTAGCAACTAGTCATTAGGGTTCCTGCAAAAATAATCTGAATATGTCCATAGCATTAAAGGCCATAAAACAACTGGTTTTATGCACAATTTAGCATTTCCCTTGTGGAGAACTCAAGTGTTTGGGCATCTGGATTTCATCTGCACCTGAAGAGACCATGGGTGTGATGTTTTAACTGCTGGCTGCAGCTGGTAACCATGTGTTTGGACACTGCCACTCTCTCTCAGGAAGATTTAAAGGAGTATGTGATCATGTGCATACTGTTAAAAAAAGATAAAGAGCAACCTTAACAGCTAAGGTTGAACTCGAGTCATTCTTTTGCCCAAAAAGACATCTTTATTAGCTACCACAGTATTTATTCAGAGTAAAATAAAAATGGATGGTTTGAAGATAAGCAGCTTATCAGCGAGCCAAAGGCCTGTGGCAGCACTCATGGCACGCTGTTTGAGCGAGCCCAGGGGTGTCCTGTGCTTCTGCCATGGCAGAACATGCTGAAAGTCTGGGGGAAAAGGCATTTCTGATTTTTCTTTACATGCAGAATTTGGCCATTTCAACTGCTAGAAACCAACATGAAAGATTTCCTTCCTCTCTAGTCTAGCAGCTGAAGCCATCACTTCCCAGGAGAGGCCATGCCAAGGGAGAGGTTTCCCTGGCAGAGGGAGGCTGTAACTGGTCAGATATCTCTAGTTAATGCCCACTCAGAGCAAACTTGCTGTCTGCTGTCCAAACACCCAGTTACAGCCCCGCAGTGGTAAAAGCAGCCCAGGTCTCTCAGCCCCAGCCACATTCCTCTGTTACAAACAGCAACACTGAGGTCACTTTCCCCGTGCTCCAAAGCAGTTTTCAACCACGATTTTAAGGTTATTTATACAATGCAGGACAAGCAGTGTTGTGTGACTGCAGACAGGTACGCTGACACTCATTTTCTTGGACAAGTCGTCTGTCCCTTGTGAGGGACCAGCCCCACACTGTCTCAGGGACTGGCACTTCCCACCCTCTGGGCAGGCTCTGGGTGGTGGGACAGGGCTGGGGACTGCTCCATGTGTCACAGAATTCACAGAATCACTGGGCTGGAAGAGACCTCCAAGATCATTGAGTCCAACCCAGCCCCAACACCTCAGCTAAACCCTGGCACCCAGTGCCACATCCAGGCTTTGTTAAACACACCCAAGGATAGTGACTGCGCCACCTCCCTGGGCAGCCATTCCAGAACTTTATCACCCTTTCTGTAAAAAACTTTTTCCTAATATCCAACCTATATTTCCCTTGGCACAGCTTGAGACTGTGACCTCCAGTTCTGTCAGTGCTGCCTGAAGAAAGAGCCCAGCCCCACCTGAGCACAGCCACCTTTCAGGAAGTTGTAGAGGGTGATAAGATCACCCCTGAGTCGCCTTTTCTCCAGGCTAATCCTGTTTTGGATGCATTGCTTCCCAGAACCCCCAGAGCAGAGGGTGGCAGCAGCAGAAGGGCTGTGGGAGCTGTGGCACCTCACAGTGGGTCCTGGCAGGGCAGACTGGGGCAGTGCTCACACACAGCCACTGCTCCCTGGCCTCCCAAGCAGGGACAGGTTCCTTGTTGGCAAGGGAGAGACCTGCAGGGCTCAGGGAGTGAGAGCCAAGGTACCCAGGGCTGCAGCCACAACCCTGCCAGTTTGGTACGTGTGCAGGGAGGAGCTCTGCAGGGACCTGCTTTAGCTTTACCTTAAGGAACGCACAGGAACACACAGCCTGGAGCAGCAGCTGCTGGAAGAATGGAGCCCTGAACCAGCCCAAACCAGGGCTGATAAAATGAGGGGTGGGCTCAGCCTGTCCGTGTGAGAAACCCTTGCCAAGGCTGATCTCCCTGCCCCAGGACGAGCTCCCACAGCTGAGCTGCAGGGAGCAAACACTCAGCTGCTCCTGTAACCCTGCTTCCTCCTTCCTTCACTCAGGAAAGTTTACATTACATATTACATTCCAGGAGCATGCAGAACCTGGAAATAGTGCAGCTATTTGTAGTTTATACCAAAAAAAGAGTGTCATTTAATACCTTTAAAAATTGTGGAAATCGATGGTGATCCTATAATGGAACACTCTGCAGCCAAGGTACTCGTTTATGGACACCTGGTTGCTCATCAATTCTGATTTTTGAATCAGCTTTGTTATTCTGACACCCTTAAGCTATGGATTTCCTTTTAAATGACGACTGCCACATAGCCTTGCTTATTTAAAAGTTTGGTCTTCCATAATTGTTCTCTGGAACATATGAAACTTCCACACCA